AAAGGATGATTTAGGTCACCCTGCCCCACCGTTTCGCCCCATCTCCGCCTTTCTGAGGCGAGTTGAAGTGGACCGTGCCGCCGTGGCGGACAGAAGATGGAACACACCAACTTCAAGTCCGCCTTGAGCGCACCTTGAGGTGGACGCAACACGTATCTGGTCCACTAGGTGGACATGCCCACTGCAAATCGGCGTGTTCCAGAGCCGGGCGTCACCGCAGCGGTCGCGGCTGAAGCGGAGCAAGAAGGGCAAGAAGGACAAGGACGCGGGCTCGGGCGCCGACAGCGAGGGCGAGGGCAAGCGCAAGGGCAGCTTCATGGACAACAAGGACACCAAGGACGGCGGCAAGAAGGGCAAGAAGGGCAACAAGGGCAAGAAGGACAAGAAGGGCAACAAGGGCAAGAAGGGCGCCAAGGACGATGACAGCAGTCTCGCCCTCTCCAAGCGCGACGCCACGCAGACCTCGTTCGCCGATCTCATCGCGTGGACGCTCGGCGAGAAGGACATCAGCCATAGAGGCGGACAAAAGGTGGACAGTTGATGTATAAGTGATTCTATTTAATGCAATATATACAATGCAAAGTAATTGGATTGGTTAGGCAATTGGTTGCCAGTAGGCGTTCGCATGGCGGGTCAGGTACACAATAAGGTTGTGTTGCTCAATCTCACTCTGGACGATACGAAAAACAGTCAGAGAAGAGATTATCATTGTGAAAGGGGAAGTGTACTATGCTGTTTGTAACTGATGTATATCTTGACGTTCTTCTTGTTCATCCAGGGCTGCTCATAGTTGAACTCAAGGACAATGGAACCATTTGCTTCCATTGGGTCCCACTTGATATCACTCACGCCAGTAGTGGTGGTGAGGTGAAACGAGGGACGTTTTGCAGGTACAATAACGTGTACGATAAGGTGCTCGTTCAATCAAGTTGATGTATTGGTGAGGTTGTTGATTACTTCTTGTGTAGTCTCCACTATGCTTCTGCTGTTTTCTGCCATAGTCCTCTTTTTGTACTGCGACGCTTTGTGCGGCATGCTTTGAATTCCGCTTGTGAGTCTTGTGGCTTCTTCCGCTAAAGTCGGTTTGTAACATTACCCCACGCCTTATAAGCTGACGTCTCGGCAGCAAGGATAGTCACTGTGTTGGTCGCCCTCGTGAGTTGCATTTGTGGGTCGCCGTCGACAGTCACCGTTAGGTGGCCGTCGCAGGTCGCCGTTGAGCGCTACTCTTGAGGGTCGCTGTTGTGAGCCGCGTTCATAGGTTGACCGTCGACAGTCACCATCAGGTGGCCGTCGCAGGTCGCCGTCGAGCGCCACTCTTGAAGGTCATTGCGCACCTGCCACTCCATGAAGCTGCCGGCCCAGCAGAAGAAGACGAAAAAGAGAGAATGAGAGCGAACCGGTTCCTCAACTGCCGAGAGCGTGCAATACGCCCTCAACCAAGAAGGCCAGCCACAAAGAGATAGGGTAGAGAAAGTAAAATGATAAGGTGAAAAACGTTTTTTTTTTTGGTCAGTTGGACTCTTTTTTTTTTTTGATCCGGAGGCGACAGTATCAACCGAACACGTCCATGTGCTCTGCTTGATAGAAAGAGAAAGTGGGGAAAAAATATCAGAGCTTAGATGAAATGGCTGTGGACCGACATCATCTTGTTGCACTGTGGAAAGGTCAAACACCACCTGGGCGCTTCATTGAACATTTGCACCTTCTTGGTCTTGAACATTCATGCAGTTGAACTGCCTGCCAGTACTGTTGAACGAGAGTGTCTGCATGCACATTGCTTTCTGCCACCCACTCATTGTGTTTAGCAGTAAAGCCTTGGTAGCGTACGTGGACTTCATAGCGATTGTTGGACAGTTGACGGTGACCAAGGATTGCCTCAATCTCCTTCTGTTCATCCTGCACATGTGATTGATCAACAGTCTCATCCCCAGTGAGTGGGTAAGTGTACTGCAACTGCATGTTCACAGCATCAATGGTATCCCCACCCCAATGTGGTTTCAGGCGGGAGATGTGCATCACTTGTATGTCCTTTGGATTCTCCATGTGTTGCAAGACATAGACAAGCGCACTGCAAATCTCAATCATGTGGTACAGCCCATGCCAGCGCAGCTTCAACTTCTTGGAGTGGCCTCTTGGTACCTTTGGTGTAAACATCCACACCAAATCAGCCACCAAGTAAGTGTGATCAGTGCGTTTGGCGTTGTACCACTCTTTGCTCCAATTTCCTGCTGCTTGGATCCACTCCTTAGCAAGGCAATGAGCCTGGACCAAACGCATCACCAGCTTGTGCTGGAAAATGTGGATGGACCTGATTTCATCATCTCCCTGTGGGTTGAATGTGATGTCAAGAGGAAAGTACAGTTCTCAACTGTACATGAGAAAGAAAGGCAATTCCCCTGTGACTTCATGTGTTGTGCTGCAATACACAAACAAAACATAGGGCACAAAGGTGTCCCAGTCCTTCTTGTCATCAGACACAACTTTTGAGAGCATGTTTTCAATGGTCACATTGAAACGCTCAACCATGCCATCCATTTGGTGTTGGAGGTCAAAGATGATGAATGTGGTTGAGAGACACACAGACACATGAGAACATGTGAGAGATATAGAGGGGAGAAGTGAGTTCCAAATACAGAGTATGGAAGATATTGAGAAGGGAGAAAAAAGAGAGAGAGAAATGTTGAGACAATGAATATCCAACACTCCCCCTTAGAGTTGAGAGTAATGCCATATGATCAGCCACGGATTTGGAGATCCAGTTTGGCCTTGTTGTGCTTGAGCTTAGGACTGGTGATGTGTTTTGTGAGAAAGTCTGCTAGGTTATTGTTTGTTGGAATGTAGTTGATAGAGATGTCTTTCTAGTTGGATGTGGTTGTATATGAAAGCATGCTTGATTGTGACGTGTTTCAATCTCTTTGGCCAGGCGAAGACTGGTTTGTGAATGATAGTGATTATGGATTGGTTGTTGTTGAGAACTTGAATTGGGTGATTGAGATGCTGAGCACTGGAACGTGTTGTGTGGCCTTGAAGTGTGTGTTGTTGAAGGTGCACACAAATCAAGAGAGATAGACCACAGTGTGGAGGATGTCAGGGCAAGTAGCAAGGGCAATGTATAGGACAGCACCAACAAGTCAACAGAACTTGAGGCCAGCGTGTGTGTGCAAGGTGGACTCAACAACACAGAGATCAGTCCCAGCTGGAAGAGGACACCCAAGTGGCTTGGCACCAGTCAGCTTGAACTTGGTCACAAGGTCCATGATCTTTTGTTTCTGGGAGATGTCAAGGGTGCCAGCAGTTGCATTGTAGGTGATGTCAATGCCAAGTATAGTAGAAACGGGGCCAAAGTCCTTGACATGGAATCAGTTCCACAGCTGCTCCTTGACCATGTCAACATCCACTGAACACTGTCCAGAAAAAGGTGATAGTGGTACTTTTTAATGAAACTAAAAACAGGTGTACATGAGATAAAAACACTGTGGAATTTGAATGTACACAGAGAAGAGAAGTTTTATTTACAGGTGTCTAAATATTTCATGAAGGGTGGGTGGGGGAACTCCAGTGTTGGTGTTAAAGTCAAAGCCACAAGCTAAAACAGACCCCATTGGAACAGTGCTTTCTGAGCCATGGTCAGTCCAGCATCCATTAGTGAAGTTCCACCAGTGGACATGGAGCCTCTTACAGAGAACGCTGATGATCTTGCATATCCAAAAGTCCTGAGTGTCTTCATCAGCATCAGCCTGGACAGCAACCCACTGACCAGGAGCAAAGTTGAAACGTTGGACTTGGGGTGTAGTCCATGTGTGGACAACCTTGACCCTGGTTTGGAGATGGAACAATGGACCATCAAGGAGAGGATTAGTGATGGGGTGAGCTGTGAGTCCATCAAAAATCAAGTTATTGCAGGTGGGTTGGGAGCTTGAAACAAGAGCCTCATGTGCTTCAAAGATATCAGCCCACTCACTAAGCTCTGACTCAAGGAACAGTGGAGCATGGCAGTTGTCAGCCAACTCAGTAAGCACTTCAGGCGGAAATTGCTGAGGTGGGATAGTGAAAGGTGCTCCTGATGTGGTTTGTGTAAGTTGTGATATCTTTTGGTAGGGTGTGTGCAACATAGTGAGGAGCAAACCAGTTGGAATGGATGTGAGAAGCTGGTATGGCTCAGAGTAGGCTCCTTGGGTGTGGTAGGCTTTGTCCTGGATCACTGGTTTGCCTGAAGCATCACAGAAAAAATGGAAAACATGGGGGGTGGAGTGACCAGTCAGGCCATGCATGTGATTTCCAAGCCAGCTCTTCCAGTCCCAAACAGTTTCAAGGGTATGCAGGGAAGGAGCTGGGCTGGTGGATTGGTAAGCCTGCTCAAGAAAACCAGAAAGTTGACTGAAATTTGAAGATGAAGTTAGGAAGGTGAACAAAAAGGGGCAATCATTAATGCTGACAGAAAAAACTGATGCACATCAGGTCATGAGTCAACAAATAAAAAACCTGATGCGCATCAGGAAAACAATCAACACAAAAAAAGAGTGATGACCATTATGTTGGGGTGTGAATGGAAGAGGTATGGAACTTTGTCTGAGCAGTGGAGAAGAGCTGGTTGATGTCTTCATGTGTATGCCCAACCAACAGAAAGCTCAGGTAGACCTCTTGGAACATATCTAGGCTGACCAGGAGACTGAGGAAGGCAAGCATGAAGACATTCTTGTTCTCAGCAGCACAATTGTCAGCCTGCAGGTAGAGGGCAGGGTTACTTGCCCTGCCCAACCTGGAGCTAGGTATGTACACTTTGTGTGTTTTTACTGTTCACCACACTGACAAGTTCCAAACTGATGCACATCAGTTTTTTATTTGTGGACTCTTTTCCCAATGTGCATCGGGTTTTTTTATTTGTTGACTCTTTTCCTGATGCACATTGGGTTTTTATTTGTCAACTCTTGATGCGCATCAGTTTTTCACTTATTCCTGATGTCCACTGGTTTTTTTCTTCCACAGGTGTTGATCTACATGCACAACTTTACCATCCACAGTGTGGACATTCCTCTCAACATTGATGATCAGCAACTCGCCTATTGAAGTCTTATGGTGTCAGATTATACATCTCCTCATCTCCCTCCAACATTGCCAACACCATCACCTCACTCAAGTCACACTCCACCCTCCAGGTCTTCCACCTACTCCACTTCTACTACAGCTCCCCAACTTACTCCAGCTCCATGCCCACCTCTGAACCTCTCATCAGTGGCTTCAATGTTCTCATCTTCAGCCACAAGAGGGTTAACATGTCCGCCATCTGGCATCCTCTGGCCAGCAACACCATCCCTGAACCCTTCTGCTATCTGCACCACATCCCCATCCCACACCCAACGATGAGGTTGTCCACTCTGCTCCTGCTTTCCTCACTGCTCAATCATCAGACCACACCCCACTTCACATCAGCCTCTACAGCTTCCTCATCCAGAGCTTAGAGCTTCCCAATCCTTCTCCCCACCCCATCACATCGCCCACCACCCCCTACCACATTCTCTATGAGGCAAATCCCACCTACTACCTCTCCTTCTGTGCTGCCCTTTACTCCAGCTTTGTCTGCCTCTCCTCTACCCCCATAGCAGAGGGCAACATCTCCTCTCTCACCAACTGGCTCCTCACCTTCCACTCTAAATTCCTGGAGGAGTCAGATCTCACAGCCATCACTTCCTTCCTACAAGGCCTAACTTCACATCCTGCCCTTGCCCCTCTCACACCCAAGACCAGCTCCTCCTCCTCTTCCAGTCCACAGAAAGTGTGGAAGTCCATTGGCTAATGTTTCCCTCCACTCTGTTCTGTTCCTCATTCCAACAAAATACATTAGCCCTTTTTTACACTTGTGCCTTGAAATTCTTCATTGGCCCCATCTGCTTTTACCATGACCTACACCATTTTTTCCCTGTTTTGCCACTCTCTGTACATATTTTGCCAAAACCACTCACACACCATGTTCACAAAAGTACTGCTTTCGCTGCACATACACATATATCACTTGTACAGATTTTACTTAACAAAAGGTGCCACTGGCACCTTTTTCTGGACACAGTGTTACTGGCATGCCAGCAATGAGAAGGTTGTCAATGTAGACAGATAGGATCACATGCAGTTGACCATCAGCAGTGGTCTGCACAAAGACCTGATGTAGTTCAGGGTCATGTGGTCCAGCATCACCATCATGGTTGGCATGGTGATTGTGCAGCATGTGCAGGCATCTGCCTGTGCAGCAATGAAGCCAACTCCTACAGGGAACACATCAAGGGTGTGGTTCCAGGCCAGTGGGGCCTGTCACAGGCCATAGAGCGCTCTCTTCAGTCAGAAGATGTGGCATGGACAGTCAGGGTCAATGAACCCTTCTGGTTGTGTAACACACACCTCCTCATGCAGGTTAGCCTGCAGGAAGGCGTTGTTAACATCCATGGAGTGTATCACATAGCCATTCCACACAGCATGCATGAGTAGTAGTCACAGGTTTTCAAGACAGAGGACCAGCCTTGGGCGCGCTGGGTGCGCCCTTCATTGGTGGCTGATCCACAAATCTCATGGGCTGGTGCACATTCCATCCAGATTGAGTGGTGGTCATCACCTCACCACCATGCTTGGGCTGCTTCACCACCATGCTTGGCGCTGCTGATTGCTGCACACTCCACTTGCTTGCTGGTGACAGTGTCACTGCAAGTGGTGCTGATGATCTCAGCACACACCACAGGGTGAGGTGCTGTGGTGAGGTCTGTGGTGTTGTCACCATCTGGCTCCATGGCGGTCTGTTCAGGCACAGATATGGGTCCTGTGCCATCCAGCACAGGAGTGTTGGTGGCCAGTAGTGAGTTGTCACACACTTGTACCTCAGCTGCCAGCACAGGCAGTGGCACAGGGTTGTTGCATGTCATGTGTGTCACCTTGGTGAGTACAGATGGTGTTTCATTGTCCTCATCAAGTAGTGGGACATGGAGTGAGGCCAATGGTGGTGTGTCAGCTGGCAGTTGCAAGGCGCTGCACTCATCAAAGACAACATTGTGTGTGTCCACCACTCAGTGTTGGTTGACAATGAAGACACAGTACATTGACATGGAGTAGTCAATGACCCCCATGAAGTGGACAGGGACAGATTGAGCAGATATCTTGTGGCATTCATGTGTGTGCAGCCTCATAGTGCCAGGCGTGCCAAAAACACAGAGATGCCATGATGGTGGTGGTGTGCCATGCCACCAAGCAAACAGGGGCTTGTTGTTCAGATTGGAGCACATGGGGGTGATGTTGATCATGTCACATGTGTGTCTTGCCACTTCCACCCACCACTTGCTGGGGAGGTGAGCATCAAATAGCAGGCAGTGCACTCAGGTCATGATCTTGCAATTGAATTGCTCAGTCACACCATTGTACTTGGAGGTGTACAGTGGAGTGGGCTTGCGCCTCCCACCAACCTCTGCAATCCACTTGCTGATGTGGGCATTGAGCTCCTTGGCATTGTCCAGTTGAATGTAGCAGATGTGCACAGATGAGGGAAATGATGCTGCTATGTTGTGCAGTGCACTGGAGATGGTGGTGGAGGACTTGTTTGGGAGTGGCTGCACAAAGTGCATTCTTGAGAAGGAGTTGGTGATGGTGAGCAGGTATATGTGCCTGCCAGTGGACTGGTGGCGCATGGGGCTGAATAGATTGAGTGAGATGAGGTTGCCTGGGCGGTCATGATGGGGGGCGTGATTTGTGTGGCTGATGACTCACACCATGTATGGTTGGCTTCCCAGCAAGGCAGATGCTGCAGAGCGGTGTGATTGAGGAGGAGAGGATTTCACACTTCTCCTGGTTGCTGAAGTTGGTGGACTGTTGTATGGACTCTTGGCAGTGCGCCTTGCTGGCATGGCCAAGGTGACAGTGGATGAGATCCATGCACAGCTGTGGGGAGAACGTGGACAGGGCGGCGAGCAGGCTGGCGCAGGTGGGCGTGGGGGAGAAGGTGATGTTGAAGTAGAAGAGATTCCCACTCCTGTAGCTGAGGAGCCGTAGCTGGTCATCCAGAAAAAACTGGAAACTGTGGAGCTGGTCAAAGATGATGGTGCACCCTGCATCAAGAAGTTGTTGTGTGGATATCAGGGTGTGTGAGGTGCTTGGCATGTAAGTGATGTCTTGCATCATGATGGCGCTCTCCTGCCTGTTGATGATTGTGACTCTGTGTAGTGTGCTGTGGCTGATGCACTTGATGTGCCTGCTGTTGGCACACATGAGGTGAGAGGGCATGGTGAGCAGAATGAAGTCATGTAGCAGGTCCTGTTGGTTGGTGGTGTGCTGCATCGCCCCTGTGTCAGTGTTTGTGGGCAGGTGCATGGTGGGGACCAGGGAGAAGACTGAGTAGTTGACATGGGATGTATTGTTGATGGTGGCCTCCATGGTGGGTGTTACAGTGTGGGCATTGGATTTGCTGATGATGGTGAAGTTGCTGGGGTGAGCAGTGGTGGTGGCAGTGGTCATGGCAGTGAGCATGGTGGATGGTGAGGTGTGCATGGGCATGGAGGATGCAGTGGTGATGGCAGTGGTGGTCATCGCCACCAGTGTGGCAGCATGAGGGGCCTGCTGGGAGGGACGCAGGCATGTGTTCTTGTGGCACTCTTTGAGTGAGTGACCATGTGAGTTATGGAACAAGCAGTACTTGCTGTGACTGTCATTCCAGTTTCTGTGGTGGTGGAATTGTTGCTGCTGTTGGTGTTGCTGTTGCCTGTGTTGAGGTGCTGGACCTGTGGGTTGGCCATGTTGGTCCTGGTGTTGACCAGCAAAGAGGACAGCGTCAGAGCTAGGGGTGGCCTGGTGTGATGCTTCCATGTGGTTGAGTGCCTGGAGCACCACTTCAACTGTGGAGTCATCTGCTAGTGTGTTGAACTGCGCCTCAAAGGCAGGATCAATGCTTTTGAGCACAGTCACAAGGATGACTAGCCTGCTCTGCTCCAACATCTTGTGTCTGCCAGTCTCAGTTGCCAGGACGCTGATGAGTGCCTGGATATGCGCCCAGACTGAGTGAATGGAGTTGCCAGGGCAAATGAGGTAGATGTCAGGTCTCCTGAGATTGCATTGTGCAGCCTGAAGGGCAACATCATTGTTGCCATAGCAGTTGTTGATGGCAGCCCAGAGGGCGAGTGGGCAGCCATCACTCATCCCCAAGATGTCTTTGAGCAACTCTGGTCTGATGGTGCTGCAGATGAACATGAAGGTCTTGCACTGTCCCTTGCAGATCTCACAAGCAGACTTGAGTGATGTGCTGTTGCTGACAAGCAGGGCGATCTGCTTTTGCTTTGTGTCCTCCAACTTCGCCTTGGCTGCTGAGGACTTCTCACCAGATGTCAATTCAGAGGCGATGGAGATGGTGGATTTGATGGAGAGCAACTTGAACAGACTGGCTGTGTGTTCAGCATCATAGTCATCAACCACCTGGATGATGGTGGTGTAGTCAGTAGTGATGTACTTGGTGCGTCCTTGCTCATGGAGGGTGAGACATACAGTTCTATTCCACTCTGTGAAGGATCTTGAAGAAGAGGGACACTGAGACCATTGTTGCTATTGTTGTTTGTAGTCATGATGCAGGGTTGCAATTGGTGACAGGTGTGAAGATGTTGGTTTGATGAATTAACACTAATGAGAGTGTGGGTCCATAACCTGTTGCAGGTCAAAGATGATGAATGTGGTTGAGAGACACACAGACACATGAGAACGTGTGAGAGATATAGAGGGGAGAAGTGAGTTCCAAATACAGAGTATGGAAGATATTGAGAAGGGAGAAAAAAGAGAGAGAGAAATGTCAAGACAATGAATATCCAACATTTGGGGATGGTATGGTGTTCAATTTCATGATGTTCAGCAGAGTGTTCACCTCCTTCAGCACACGGTTCATGAATTCTTTTCTGTGGTCTGATAGGAGTGACTTGGGCGCGCCATGTTGACAAATAACATGTTCAACAAAAGCATGTGTGATGGTTTCTGCCTTCTTGTTTGGAAGGGCCACTGCTTCTGGCCACTTTGTGAGGTAGTCCATGAACACAAGGAGATATTTGTTTCCTTGTGTGGACGTGGGGAATGATGTGATGAGGTCCATACCAATTCGCTGGAATGGCTGAGAGGGAGCTGGTAGCGGCTGCATGAGGCCTTTCTTTCATTCTGCTGGGCTCTTGTGTCCCTGGCACGTCACACATTCAAGCACCCAGTGTTCAATTTCAGCATACATACCCAGCCACCAATAAAGGCGATGGAGCACATTGATGGTTCAGTTCACACCTAGATGGCCAGCCAGGAGATCATCATGGTGGGCAAACATGACCACCTCCCACATCTCTGTGGGGACTGCCAATTGCACACACATGCACGAAGTGGTGTTGGCGTGTTGAGGCCACCATGCACAAAAAAGGGTACCTTCATGAAGGAAACACTGTGCCACCTCTGTGGCCACATGCTTGGCACGCCCTGCATCCTCAGGCAGTGCCTGTGATTCAAGGTAGGTGATGATGTCTCTCAAGAACTCATCTTTTCACTGGCCCTCTGCAACTTGCCAAAGGAGCTCATTTTTCAGCCCTGTTGTGGTTCCAGGATCTGCAGGAAAGGTACACTCCACACCATGGTTAAGAGGAAAAAGGTTGGTGTGATCAGTACCAATATCTTCCCCATGTCCATGAGCGTCAGTGCCCTCATGGTCATTGGTGGAATCAGCCTGCAGGTCGTCACCCACGGTCTGAACGCCTATGTCCAAATCTCCCTGTGATTGTGTGTTGTTGTTGTGCAGACAGCAGCCCTTGGCGCGCTGGCTGCTGTCCACCATTGGAACATCCTCCTCTTGAGCATCGTCTGTGTGCTCATCCTTGGCCTTCTTGCCTGTGTTCAAAACTCTCCTGTCCACCACACAGTGTTTGCAGCTGCAATGGGTTGTGTACCTATCACTCATGGTGAAGGTGTTGTTCAGATCATAACAGCCCTTGCAGGACGCTGCTCTTCTGTTGGCGCCAGGTCTGCATATGGATTGGCAATCCACCCACAGACCTTGATGGCCCCCTTGACAGCTGCTTCCCACCAGGGTCGGTCAACAGTGGCAACTGTGTCTCCACCAGCAGCATGATCATTGGTGTTGGGCACCAACAACTTGGGGACGACGGACATACCACCTTCAGGCTCACACAGAACCAATCATGACATGGTGTCCACATTCACATGAGCCTTGCCTGCTTTGTAAATGACATCAAATGAGTATGGCTGAAGCAAAAGAATCCATCAAGCACACCTTCCTGCAGGCTCCTTCAACAAAGAGTCAATAAGGCCCTTAAGAGGTTGGTGGTCAGTGAATAGCTTGAAACGTTCACCATGGAGGTAAGGGTGGAAGTGTTGCACCCAGACCACCACACTTAAGAACTCAAGCTCAGTGACACCGTAGTTGGCTTCCACCTTATCCAGCTTTCAACTTGCATAAGCGACAACACGCTCACAATTCTCATCATCTCTCTGCAAGAGCACTGCACCAATGGCGACATGTGAGGCATCCATGTAAAGCTCAAAAGGGCAGCTGTAATCTGGAAACGCCAATATTGGGGCTGTAGTGAGCGCCTGTTTCAGTAACACAAATGCAATCTCACACTTGGGGCTCCAGATGAAATTGTCAGTGTGATTAGCTGCTTTGCTCATGAGGGCATTGAGTGGTGCCGCCATTTCCACATACCCATGTACAAACCACCAGTAATAATTGGTGAGGCCCAGGAACATACAAACCTCAGTGGCATTTGTCAGACGTGGCATGTTGTGCACCGCCTTGGTCTTGTTGGGGTCTGGAGAGACACTGTCATTGGAGACAATATGGCCCAGGAATGGTAGCCGCTCCTTGCACATGAAGCACTTGGAGGGTTTCATGAACATGTTGGCGTCATGCAGCCTCTCAAACACCTTGTCGACGTCATGGAGGTGCTGCTCAAATGTGGGAGAATAAACAATTATATCATCCATGTACATGAGTGTGCATACCCACGTCAAGCTGGACAGGACAAGGTCCATGTCTTGCTGAAATGTAGCTGGTGCATTTGAAACGGCATAACTGTGAACTCCCATGTCCCACAGCTGCATGTGGTGAAGGCTGTCTTCTCTATGTCAGACAGCTCAACTGGGATCTGCCAATACCCAGAGACCAGATCAAAGACTGAATGATAGAGGGAACCCTGTAGACCATCAAGGATGTCCTCAATCTGTGGCAATTGATAGCTATCCTTCTTTGTTATCTTGTTAAGCTGATGTGTCAATTTCCTGACATGTCATAGAGATGGAGATGTGCTTGTCACCCATGATCAATAGCCCATCAACAAGATTGAGCATTGTGTTGAACAAACACAAGTCCTTTGTTCCTAATATCATGGACACTGGACATGACGACACCACAATGAAGTCTACACCATGAGTGTGTGACCCCATTGTGATTTGTAACATCACTTGCCTGAAAACCGTGAGTTTGTCCCCACCTGCTGAGTGGAGGGGAGCACCTCTGTAGTCGTGCAAAGTACATCTAGTACCTGCGCTCTGAAGTTGCCATAGAGTAGAAACAGGAATGAGGGACATGCCTGATCCTGTATCCAGAAGTGGTTGGATAGAGAGAGATCCAATGCGTGCCTCAGCTGTCACTGGTGTGAATGCACATTGGTCCTCTTCCACCCTGTTGTGATCCATGTAGTGTACAATTATCTCCTCCTTCTGCTGGTTGTTATGGGGCCATGTGGCTTTAGTGGGAGGAGGTGGCCCCTTCTTCTTCCCATGTGTCATTTTTTTGGTGTGGTGCTGGAGGGGGTGTTTGTACTCTGACCCTTCTCCTGTGTGGTATGCTTGTAGAAATGACCTGCCTGCTTTTCACCATTCTTGACTGCCGCCTTGTCCTTCTGATGCTTATAGCAGTTTTCTGTGAAGTGGTTTGTTTTCACACAATACAAACACACTTGCTCTGTTTTGGTGGTTGCTTGTTGTGAGTTGTGGTTAGCATCCCAGAGAGGCTTCATCCTCTCCTCAAAATTGGCCAAGACCAATTAAACATCATTAGTAAGCACTTCATGGAGATCCTTTTTGATATCATGGGAGAGGGTGGAGTGGAGGGCATATCCAACTTCCTCACTGACTGCCACCACAAACTCATTCTTCTTAGTCTTACTCTTATTGAGCTGGGTCTCCCATTCCATAGCACACCACACCACCTCATCATATTCAGCATCAGCATCAAGGAATTCAACCTTCTCACACAACTCCTGTCATACACCCTCTCAGAAACAAGGAACAAGAGCTTTCTAGATACCTGCCCACTTCACTAGATACTTCAGCTCAGCAGCGAATTGACTTACATTCTCATCACACATCTGTACACAGTTTAAAAACTCACTGACAGTGTGGTGTGAAGATTTGGGGGTGAACATATTGATGAGGGCCTCACCAAATAACTTTGGATCAAGGATGGTGTCCTGATCAAGGTGAGTAGCCCACTTCGCCACACAATCCTCAAGAGAGGAGTACATGTAGTTCATGTGAGTGGCCTTTGACCATCCATTGATGGCGGCTTGGTGCTTGATGCACTCAACCCACATTACCACATCTTCTCCTGTTTTACCAGAAAAAGTAGTGATCTGACAAATGGGATGGCGTACTTTGTCCTTGCTCTTCATAGAAAAGCTGTGGACAACGAACTCAGCCTCCACTTGGATCCATTGACAGATCCCCGCCGCTCATAGAAGTGCTCACTCCCACAGTGCCTGGTGTCAGACTAGTAGACACAGCCTTCATGATCTGGTAATACTTATGTATCACCACGTTCTCCATTTGGAGCTGTGCTAGTAGGGCGCATGATCATCGTCCTCCACCATGATGATCAGCAAAAGGGGAACAGGTAGATCAAATGTAGGGGTATGACTGACACCACCAGTGGTGAAGGATAGCTCACTCAACACACTCACCCCTTAAACTGCAGCAAGAGATCACTCACCCATCACACTGGTCTCCAAACCAGCCACAGCAGCTGCCTTCTCCACCCAATCAATAGCTTGCCAATCCAAATCAGAAAGGGGCTTGCTATTGTCTTGATGTTGAGCCTTCCTTGTCACCACCATGAGATCATGGTGACAGTCATGAAATTGCTGTCATCACCAAGTGAAATGAGGGACATTTCACAGGTACAATAACATCTATGATAAGGTGCTCGTTCAATCAAGTTGATATATTGGTGAGGTTGTTGATTACTTCTTGTGTAGTCTCCCCTATGCTTCTGCTGTTTTCTGCCATAGTCCTCTTTTTGTACTGTGATGCTTTGTGTGGCATGCTTTGAATTCTGCTTGTGAGTCTCTTGGCTTCTTCCACTAAAGTTGGTTCAAAACAGAGGGTGGTGTTCATGGGCTCCTTCAGAGGAGTAGCCCAGTTGGGCAAATCAGTGATGTGTTGCTTCAGCTTGTCCCCACACACCAGCTCCAGGGCAGCTGCATAATGGACTACGCCAACCCTCAGAAGTGCAGCACAATTCAGTGAGGCCAACCATTCATGATTTCCTGGAAGTTGATGGTTAGGTAAGTGAGCAAAACTCACATGAATAAAAGAAGAGCATACCATCTTGAACCCTGGCGACTGTAGGCTTAGAGTTCTCACAGGCACATTCAGTCAGGACACACTTTCACTCACTCTTCCAAGGCATGGATGAGGGGACTGCTTCACACACCAAGTCAATCTCATTGTTGGTCAGCTCATCAACATCAGGCATTGATGAATGTTCAGATCACACTTTCTTACACATGTGTGCATCATCACCTCCACACTCAGGTTGCATTGATGCAATAGGTCTCTTCCTCACACATGTGCCATTGGCCAGGCATGGGCATTGCATTGCATTGCCAGCCAGGCATGGGTGTGGGCGTGGGCGTTGCATCACATCATCAGCCAGGCATGGGTGTTGCATCACATCATCAGCCAGGCGTGGGCATTGCATCACATCTTGAGCAGCACATCTGCACTTACACAAAAGTGGTGGGCAGTCTGGAGAGTCCAGCATTGCCCACAGTTGACTGCAGAGCAAAGACTCATCATACTCTTCCAAGTCATCAAGAGGAACACTTGGAGTCAAAGTGGTCCTCTTGATGATGTCATAGGATCCAGGCCTGTCTGCTTCAGTCCCTTGGATTTCTCAAGAAGAGATTGAAGGGAGGACTGAAAACTGACATCAGCCATAAATACAACTGTATGCATGCAAGATGTGCATACCAGAGTGCTTATCTCATGATTAGAATCTTTCATTGGAGATGAGGCACATGTTTGCACAGGTACTCTGGTTGAGTGTCTGGCTGACTCTCCTCCTTGCCCTCTCCATCACCCTTGTTGCTGGTCCTACCTGCAATCTTATTTCTCACATTTTAGCACTAAACATAAATATGGTTCACATCAATGATGGTTGGCTGCTCAACAATCCAGCACATCCATGGATGGAGCCTGGTCACATGAAGCAATCCATTATGTGGTGGATTGATGAAGTTGGTTGATGCCAAGCCATTGACTCAGTCCATGAAGCTCATCTTGTATGTGTACTCATCTGATGCATATGTGGTATGATTATCACCATCAATGGACTTCATTTCTCTCTCTTCATCTCTCATCCAATCTTTGTTGAACAGGTAGGAAAACCTAACTGATTGGGCTCAGTTGATCAATGGTGGCTTGGTCTTGTGCCACTACTCCACTGGGGGGTGGGAGTGGAATGCTGATCTTGTTGACAAGCCAGGTCTTCTGGTGTCAATCCTGGTTTTAAGTGACTGATTTCCTGGCTTCCAAGACCATGGAAGCTTCTTCTGGAATAACTGTGATTTCTGTGGAGTCTGGCAGAATGGCACCAACCAGTTTGCACATGACATCACAATCCATGCAGGCTGGCAGGAACCCAACAACTGCAAGGACCTGGCGCCCCTGTACATCACAGTGGACAAGCAGAGGAAGGCCCTGTACTTCTTATTCAGCTTGTGTGAGAAAAACCAGTACTTCATCTGCACCTGCTCACCACTTGCAATTGGCCAGTCACTCATCAATGTCCTCACCACCAGACAGCTCAACAATGGCATCATGGCAATGAAGCCTACCCCCAACTGACAGGCAGAGAACAGCCCACCCACCTGAGACCCAATCAACACCCTCAAGGAGGCCTACAAACGCCAGGACAAGATCAACTGCCTGCATGACCAAGAGAGGGTCATAGGCCTAATTGACTGCATCCAGGACTTATCAAGCAAGCACATCAGGACACGTTCATGGTCCTCACCTCCTTCATGACCCAACAGTCCATCAGCAATGTGGCCCTGCTTGAAGGAAAACCACACCCTCATCTACCACCTCCATGGCCAAGAGCCTCCACCCCAGCTCCTCATGGACATCACAGCCCTTGAAGCTGAGCTAGCCCAGTACCAACAGGCCTCCATCATCCAGCTCCACACCCTGGGCTCAATGGACCCAACACCCCCACTTCTACAAGCAACAAGCCCAGGACACAGCCCTACACCACTGACTGCATGTGTGCACCCACCCACCAGCCCCCACCTGTTGGTGACACCCACCACAACCACCAGGCCCAACTCTGTGACACCCACCTCCCACCACATGGCCCCTCCCCTGACACCACCCAGTCTCTCCACCACCACCACCATCAGCACCATCTTTGGCCCTTCCCTTGGCCTACTGCCCAGGAGCCACTGCACTGACCACACTCAGCATCATGTCTCTCCACCACCACCACCACAAGCATGACCACCAACACCCCTAGCAACCATGGCCTCACCTCACTGGCCATCTCCCTCAGGGCAGAGACCCCCACTGCAACAGTCATCAGCACAGTCATCTCAAGGGCAACACTGGCAACTAGCCCCAGCCCTCAATGAACAATTCATGGGAGCACACCACACTGCTCCCACACAGAGCCCAACCCCCCAATGCCAGAGGAGGAGGCCAACAGCAGGGCATGGTCCCCATCCATGGCCTTAGCAGCCCTCTGCCTGGAGGACAACAACAACCCACCACCAGCAAAGCAGGAGCCAGAGATCTACATGTCCCCCACAGAGAAGTGCCCCAGCCCCTCCAACCAGACAGAGGGAGATGAATTGCTGGTGCTGTCAATGAGGCCCAGCAACACCAGACCATGTTACTCATCAACACTGCTGGGCCTCTGCCTGACCCAACCCAGCCTGCCATCACCTTACATCTCTCACCTCCCTTCGCCCCACAAGCCCAAGCACCATGCATCCAGACCAACAAGAAGGGCAGATGGGACACATCCAGCCTGTCACCTGACCTGTCAACACCCACCAACACCTGATGGCACAGCCCATCCTCCACTCAACATCTCCTCCACCTCCTCCTTGCTCTCCTCAGCTGGCCCTTCTGCAGCTGGCGCAGACATCACATACCCAGCGCCCCCAACATGCCAGCCATACCCTCTCCCCACTGCCCCCTCATCCTCCCCCAATGACAATGGAGATGGGCACTCAGGATCCCTGTCCTAGCCCTTCACACACTGGTGCTCCCCCTCACTGAGGCCAGCTCCACAGTCCCAACAGCACCCTGCTCCAGCCCCACAGCAGCAGTCACCACACTCATCTTCCTATACATTAACATCAATGGGCTCAGCAGCCTGTGCAAACTTGAGGAACTACACTGATTCATCCACCACTTGGCCACTGACATCATCTGCCTCGCCAAGACCAAGTGGCAACAGGGGGTGGAGATCCAGACCCACACCAGCACCAACCAACCCAAGCACACCACCGCCATCTACACCAAGCATGGCATCAACACAACACACAACCAGGCCCCCACTGCCCTCCAAGGCCACTACACTGAGACCATGCTCCTCCTATGCACTGCAAGTGGCCAGGCCCTCCACCGCCAGGTGGGCAGCGTCTACACACCCACCAACCCCACCACCAAGGATGCCTTCTTCACCACCCTCCAACAGCAGGTTGTGTGCACCAACTCCCCCATTGTAGGGAGGGACTTCAACTTGAAAATCTCCCAGGAGGACACCATGTGCAACTATGTAGGTGGCCAGGACTGTTCCACCCTGGTGGACTTCATCAATGAGTCACCCTTCCCCCTCCACAACATCATCAAGAGACCAACCCCAACTACAATGTCAGGACCTCCCCCACCTACACCACCCTGGGATACTGCACCCACATCAACCACCTACTGCCCTCCTTCCCCAATGGCTTCACCTGCACCACTGTGCACTCCCTACACAACCTCAGCACCAATCACTCACCCATCATGGCGCACCTCAACCTCAGGCCATTTGGAGCAGCCCACCACCCCTCCCACCCCTCCAGACGCCCACCACTCCTCCACATCAAAACCTGCAACCAACCAAGGGCCACCCTCTTTGTGGAGAAGTGCCACACATGGGAAGCCTCCCTCCCACCACACCTCATAAAGGCCTTCCTTGGGCCACACAACAACTACATGGACCCTGACCTCTCAAATGAATGCATGACACTTCTTGAGGAGGCCCTGACCGGCCTCACCACACTGGCCACCACCACTGCCACTGAAGTCTACCCCTCATGTGCACAACACCAGGCCTCCAAGTATTGCAACTCATGAGCAAGGAGGCCTACTGGCGCACCTACTGTGACACCCACAGCACACACACCAACCTGGTCTCCATCATGGTGCTTTTTCAATGCCAACACAGGCTCAGGAGGCACAGCAGTCATCACCCCACAGGGCCTGGTGGCCAGGGCCAGAGTCTTACCCTGCTCCTCCTCAACCCACACTGAATTGGTAGTGGCTGCCCTCAGCACCTGCTTCATCATGCATGTTAACACAGCCACCCACATAGACTCCACTGTGGCGATCCAGAACATCACAGGCGCCAAAGGCACCACCAGCAAGCATCAGGACATCATTGGGGCCATCCACTGGCTGACAGCGCCTTGGCCCAGGACCTACCCCCATGTCAAGGCTCCCACTAACAACCAAGACCTCCCATCCTCCTGCACCTCTACTGTTTTCTTTAATGCTCACTCTTCCTTTACACCTCTTCCTTCATCTGCTTAGATACAAGCAGAAGCAAAAGGTGGAGATGCAAAGGAAGCTTGCTTGCAACAAGTATGAGGAAAGCACTAGCTTGATGGTGCTTGCCTTGAGGTATGTGTTTATTTTGTATATTTCATTTTGTCTTCTCCTTCAGTGTGCATGTAGTGCACAGGATCAGTGGAACCTGGAACACAAGGCGCATGTTGAAGGAGAGGAAGAGCCACACACACTGATCAAAGGAGAGGACATCATGGAGGCCACAAGCCTTCTAATGGTATCATCCTCCCTTCTTCATTTTTTTTAATGCCTGATTGCATTCATGTATATGTACCTGCAGGAGGCTCATGGTCTTGACGCTGAAGTCATTCTTGCACATGCAACACATGTGCTCAGAAGGGCTCAGTCTCTTCAGCAATGGACCAAACATGAAGGCCATTGCCTTCACCATCAATAATGGTCCCAAGGAGCTCATCCACTGGCGCTTCAATGAGTGGATCAACCACCTCATCACCTTCAAGCCAAGTGGCGAAATCCTCTACATGAGGTGCACCATCTATTGGTGCTCAAGAACAATCACCTACTTCAATAAGGACAGGCAAAACAAGGACAGGCAAAACAAGGATGGGCAAAATGAGGATGGGCGAAATGAGGACAGGCAAAACAAGGACAGGTGAAACAAGGACAGGTGAAACAAGGACAGGCAAAACAAGGACAGGTGAAACAAGGACAGTGCAACAGAACAATGTCACCAAGCATGCAATGGATGACATGCTTCACATGCTGCAGACCCCACCATTTGGTGACACCACAATTGCTGAGAGTGCACACATCCTGAGCAAGGCAGGCGAGGTACAACAAGTTATACTTATATTTCTTTCAATTTGCAAATTTGTTTACCTTGATTTTTATTAGAACTGTGTTGTCACAGATACAATTCATCTTTTATGACACATGACATCTTATCCT